TAGAATATATATTTAGAACCTATTTATTGTACATTTTATTTCAAGTTAAAAGTTGGCACCAGTCTCTGGTTGGTGATTTAAAAGCTACGTAGAAAAAACAGCCGTCTATCTCCATGATATAGGACAATAATACAGATTAATAATAAAAAAAAAATCCAAAATATTTTTGTAATATTGAATAAATATTTTTTCGATGAAAATAAGACATTTTTTTATCATAAATATGTATGTATTTTAAAATCTTGACCCCCGCGCCTCCCTACATTATCGTACCTGATATCTGACTCTGCCCATGTCCTCAGGGTATAATGTATTAATGTGTATACAGTATACGAGTACATCTTTAACAAAACAATCGCTTTCGAAAATAGGTATATAAAAATTCTTGAACTATGGTTATAGGTTGAATGTATAAGTGCACTCTTATAGATTCTTGAACCATGTTCAGGTTGAAAGTATAAGTGCTTATACTTATTTATACTTAATTGGTTTTAATGAAATTTTGATTTGTTAAAATGTTTTATTTTTCTTTGTAAATATCAACTTTAGTATTGTATTTAACTCAAACTTATATATCCCCCAACAGAAGCATTATGCTAGAGGGGAGTTTCAAACATATTATTATTTATTGTATATTTATTTGTTAATGTAATTATTTGTTTAGCTAAATCAATTTTATATTATTATTATAGTCTATGCGTAATTATTGTTGTCCGTTAGTATATTGCAATGGATGTTTGTACTTCTTAACAATACTTTAAGGACTAATTATATTTTTAGTTACCGCACAATGAGCATAATATGAAAACAAAATTTAACCGGAATCCTAAAATCGCATTCATCTGGTCATAGGTTTATAAAATAAAATATTTAAATATGAAGAAGAAATATCTCACGAAATTATTGAACAATTCCAAGTTCTAACTGTAGGTAATAGATAAACGATGACAGGTAGATAAAAAGAATTTTCAATATAATATAGACCTCTCAATGGGCACCAACTAAGTACAATTTCGTATCAGAAATCGCCCTTGTCCCTTAAAATTGAAGATTGAATCATTTTTTTACTATAAAACTTGTACGCATACACAAAAAACACACGGCATTGTAAAATCAATACATTCATTGTTTCACTCAGTATCTAAAAGACTTAATCTGAATGTATATGAAATGAGCACTGCACGTCTGCAGTGTATAATACGAATCGAAACACAAATTCTTGTTCAAATATTATAGTTTAATATATTATAACTTCGCGTATACCTATATCATTAATAATGGTCTTGGAAAAATAAACGGGCCCGAAATCCTAACGATTGTTGATTAGAACAAACGACTTCGCAACGACCATACTCGCGTCGTTGTGTACCCGTTGTCTGGGAAATTTTAGATTCTGAGTGAAACGATGAATGTATTGATTTTACAATGATGTGTGTTTTTTTATTTTTTTATTTTTTTATTTTTTTATTTTTTTATTTTTTTATTTTTTATTTTTTTTGTATCTGTGTACACGATAAGTAGTCGAAATAATGCTTCGATTTTCGACTTCAGTATCTTGTTCGATTGGAAAGTGAATATCGTTGGTGCATTGGGGAGGTCAAAATTTAAATTTCCCAGTAGTTTTCACAAGCGCCGGGAAAAACAACATAAAAATTAAGGAAAAACGGGAATTTTTACGCAAAATTGATTTTCCAAAAAATCGATTTTGGTTATTGGTGTAACTCTAAAACAAATGAACGTATATACATGAAATTTTCACTGGTTGTTTATATTTGCATTTTCTATACACGATAACATTTTCAAAATATTTTGATTTATTTTGAACTGTTTAGGGACATTTTCATTTTTCGTTTTTTTTTAGTTTTTTTTCTAGAAATATCAATAAAATTTTATTTGTTGGTTGCGAAAGCTTGAAAATTTAATAGAAGGCTCCTAATATATTGTTTCAAAGGCAGATGAAAAATATTAAAAATCCTTAGTCACAATTTTTTTTTATAAGCATTTAAAGTTCAAAAATTGACAAAATATGGAAAAATCACGAAAATTAGCAATCTATTTTGAGTTAAGAATTCGTAAAAATTTTTCTTTTTAAATCTAAGATTTGAAAATCTAATACAAGATTACTCATAAGATTGTCTACCTTTATCAATAAAAAATCTCTACCGGAAAGTCAAATTAAATTTTTATGAGCGTTTGAAATTCAAATTTTTACAACATTGGATATTCACTCGATTTCTCATGTGGCAATTTCCTTTTTTTGTTGTAATTAAAAAACGAATTACTGTAAATACATGAAAATTTCACTGAATGTTTATATTAGCATTTCCTATACACCATACAATTTTGAAAATATTTTGACTCTTTTTGAGCTGTTTACGGACATTTTCATTTTTCAATTTTTTTAGTTTTTTTTTTCTATAAATATCAATAAAGTTTTATCTGTTGGGCCAAAAAGTGTAAAAATTTAATACAAGGCTCCTGATATATTTTTACAATAACAGTTGAAAAATATTAAAAATACATAGGCACAATTTTTTTTTATAAGCATTTAAAGTTGGAATTTTGACAAAATTTATCAAAATATCGAAAATTATCAATCGTTGGAATTAAAAAATTATAAAATGTTCAGTTTTTATAACTAAGAGTTGAAAATTTAAAACAAAGATTCTCTTAAATAATTCATACTGTAACCAAAAAATCTAAAAAATATATGTACACAGTTAATTTTTACAGACATTTTAAATCCAAATTTGGACGAAATTACATATTAAAATCAATATTAACGATCTTGGTTTTTCGTTGTAATTTAAAAATAGTATTCGGGGATATATGATACCTAATGGATATAGTGATATGATTAATTTGGAATTTATTATAGGTATCTATTATAGGTCAATTTTTTTTAATACCATCGATAAGTATATGTCTTATACCTAGATTGACATACCGTCTCCACTCAGAATCGTTTTTCTTATACAATGATATTATATCATTGAATTCAAATTTAATACCATCCATTATACCATGGTCCATACTCCATGACCCACTTGTAACCTACAGTACAGCAGAGCGACATCCACTTACCCACCTTTTTTTTTTTTTTTTATTTATTTAATTCTAGTTACAAGACAAATACATGATATAACAAAGACAAATATTAACTATACGTTACTCTACACTGAGGTAGAACCTCGTGTCGTAGAGTAAGAGTACATTTTTTTTTTTTTTTTTTTTAGTAGCCGTGATAATAATGATAGATAATAGAGACCTTATATAAAACAAATAATATAATAATTATAATAATAATTAATATAATAATAAAAGAGAACTTTAATACTAGATATTTAAAGATTATAGTAAAACCAATTTTTTAATTTATATTTAAAATATGAATAATTTGAAATAATTAATAATTCTTTAGGAATCTCATTTAAAGATCGTAATCCAACTTGTATGAATGACATTGAAGCTTTTTTAGTAACAACGAAAGGTATTTCAAGATTTGTTTTTCTGAAGTTGTATGTTAGATTTTTAATATTAAATAAATTATTTTTGAAAATGAAGCAAATAGCTTGTTTTTTGTATAAATTGTCAATATCAAGTACTCTTAACATTTTAAATAATTCAGATGAAGGAAAGGTTTTCGGTTTATTTATAGAATGATTTTAATTAGGTTCTTTTGTCTTATTGATAAATTACATTTTAAAGTGGTATTGCAACCACCCCAAGCTATTATGCCGTATTGAATTAGTGATTGAGCCATTGCAAAATATGTTATTCTAATTAGCTGTTTGTTTAGTATTTTTTTTGCTATAATGAAAAAGTATGTTAGTTGTCTTAGTTTAACTATTATGTATTCTATATGATTATTCCATTTTAAGTGTTGATCTATTGTTATGCCAAGGTATTTAATGAAAGGGTTTAAGGGTGTTTAATTAATTTTGGACAGGTGTATGTTATGGTGTTGCAATTAAATTTTTTGTGTATAATGATCTCGTTTTTAAGTGGTGTAGTTCTTATGTCATTGGTAAAAGCTATAAATTTTGATTTGTCATAATTTATTTCTAAACTATTATTCGAAAACCATTCATCAATTACTAACATATCAGTTTCACATTTTCGCCAGACTGTATCCCAGTTAGAGTCAGAGACTATGATGGCCGTGTCATCTGCATATGAATAAATTTTTCCATTTATATAAAGATTACTTAATTCATAATTAATGTTTAATTCAGCTAATTCAGAAATGTTAGAATTTTTCGAGTAAACTGATTTTGAATTGAACTTCGAGTTCATTTGCAATTAAACGTCTGACCCGAAAACACCAAAAAGCAAAATGGCCACTATAGTAGTGACTTCGCTCAAGAAATCGCCATGATAAATGTTGTTGAACGATACGTGGGTAATGCCTATGGAAGATGACGAACCGCCAAAACTCATAGGAGGAGATCGGGGGGAGGGGCTTACCGGGGCTTAGCTCTCCCCCCCAAATAAATAATTTGAAGTTAAAGCCCCCCTAAAAATATTAAAGAAACAATACCGTAATTTTGTACAGTTTACTAATTTATTATTTACGGTAACATACCGAACAATTAAGTCACAATTCACAATAATATTATATTGTGTTTATATACCTAATATTGTACATATTTTGTACAAATTGGCCATCAATCTATTTATAGATGGTAAAAATATTATTTCTTTTCTAATTTTTGTTATTTCTGGAGAAGCGATAATAATAGGACTATCGCTATAGCTGTATTAAACCACTGTAAGCTATTGTAAAGTTTATCGTGATTGAATGAATCGTATTCGTACATTGTAATTGTTATATTCTGTGTTGGTATCGAATATCGATCGTACATTCGTATGCGTACCGTTACCGTAACCGTATTGATCATTTTATACTAAATTATATTTTACTTACTGTTTGATGTTCTTGGGAATACATTTCTTTTGAGATTGTGATTTAGATTTTTAATAAATAATTTAGTTCAAATATGTTTGAAATATTTAAATTTAAATCAAAAACAACTGAAGAGATCTCGAAAGAGATCCCGTCAAATACTACTGATCAACTTGAAGTAGTTGTCGACGATTCAGATTTAGACTTAGGTGATTTAGAATCTGGTCCTAAAAGACCAACACTAAAGGTAAGTTATGAATTTAGTATTCACCTACTACGTATCTATAATAGAGAATATATTTTATTATTATTAATTTTATTAAATATTTTTTAGGAATTCCCTTTAACACAATTTGGTACTCAAAAACGTGGCTTCAATTCTAATTATGAGAATAATAATTGGCTCGAATACAGTATTAATAAGGATGCCATATTTTGTTATGCATGTCGAATATTTGGAAACAATCATGGACAGTAGATATATTTTATGATATTATTGTGAGTAATTAATTTTAGTATTAGGCATTAGTATATACTACAGTAGGTTAAATTCATGTTTGTCAACAATTTTAAAATGTTATTGTGTGTATAAAGTAGGTATAATAATATAGGTACTTACTTTAAAAATTTCATATATACCCACAAATAATATTTTTTAATTACAACAAAATAACTTTGTATACTTAGCCCTCCCCCAAAAAAAAAACTTGTGATAGCCCCCTCAAAATAAACTATTCAGTTCTTTCCTAAAATATTAACAAATCTTTAAAAATTAAACTGTATTTCTTATTATTATTTTTTTAAATTATTTAAATTTTTTAATTTTTATTTAAACTATTTTTTTTTTTATATTGGCTATGATACACATGGTAAATAATAAATATCATAAGCTGTATGGTTGTATTCGTTGAAGCAATTTATGTCGGTATGATATAAATTATTTTGTATTTAATAAGATTATTACACATAATTTTAAAGTATCACTGAACTAGAATACATAGAAATAGCCAGATAGGTAATAGCGGAATAAAAATCCCCTAAAAAAAATCCCTGACCCTAGGAAAATTAACCCCCAGACTACAATATTCCTAACAAGCACAATATGGAATTTTTAAAACTTAATTAATATAATTATTACATTATTAATATTTAATTACAAATATATTATTATACTTATATAATATAGGCATACTTTTCATTAAGAAAATGTATTTATAAGAAATAATATTCAAAAATTAACAATAATATTGTTTTGTTTTATATCACGATGTGAAACAACATATACAATATGTTAATAGTTCTTTTAAAAGATTACTGCATAGGTACATTCATTAACTAGTTGTTTAATAATTATTCATTTTATTTGATGTATTGATCATTCGAAATATTTTATAATCTTTTAAATATTGTATCTACCTATATTAAGTAAAACTTGTAAAATCTACTTCTAATAATAATAATTATTATTTAGTATTTACATATCATTAAAATATTATTAGGAAACGTAATATTTTACGATTTATTTATATTTTTAAGTGAACATATATGGGGGTATGGGGGAATCACCCCCATGGGTTACTTTTCATGTAATGTCAGGTGGGGGCTACAGCCCCCCCTCCCCCGACATTTCAGCCCTAGTTGCCCCACTGCTTTAGGCTCAAGTGTCACATAGTTAAATAATTCTTATAAAAACGCGGCAAAATGTCTCTAAGGTATCGGCTATAGCAACAACATCTTAGAAAATTGAAATGTTATAGAAACATGTTTCCAAGACGTTGAAATATTATTATATTACATGTTTATAGGATGTTGGCTTACAAACATAAAACAGTGTTACATGAAAATAGGTAAACGATGTTTAGCAAACGTTTCTGGGCGCTGTCAGCTTTGCAACTTAAATCGTACAACGTTTTCAAACATCAAATACATAGTGAGCACTACTCACTAGTTAGTAAATTGATATTAAATTACCTACTTGATTTCTTATGAAAAAATCGCGTATCCTGCTTTATTACTTTGAATTATCTACACATCTGTAAAATATAATGTACAAGTTACAAAATAATATGTCATGCAATACAGTAGCTGTATGTTTACTGCAGAATGTAACGTGATATTTCTTTTCTGTTTATTTTTATCCGAATATATAATGTGCATATCAGGATGCATATTGTACAATGCGAGACGATTGAAATTCACAATATGATTTTATACCATTTTTTTTTTATTTCCATAATATTTGTTGATTTTGTTTTATGTCGTTTGTGTTGGGTTACTGATTTAATGTGAGATGTTAATATACAAATAATATACTAACATCATACATGATGGTTTTCAACACGAAATTAACCGATTTCACTACGTACGGCGTACGCATTAAACATTTAGATACAATCATTTATAATTTTGATTGATTTATTATTTTAATTGTTTGTGTATCGTATTGACCGTAGTCTATAGAATGTAGATAAACCAAAACTAGGCCAAAACTTTTAAATATTTTGTTAATTTGTTTATAATAACATAATAGTAGGTATATTATAATATAGTACCTATAGTGAAATTATCGGAATTTTATTACCTAGGTACAACTTATAAGCCTATAAATATACATAAATTATTATAATTTATAAATAATAAAAAATAAAAAATAATATATACCTATTTCAAAAAAGCCTTTGACCGTGTTGACTACGAGCTACTTTATATTGCACTTAACCTTGGTAGGCTTTGATAATCCATTTATCCATTGCTATCACAGTATCACACGGTTTAAATCCTATTTAACTTATTTAACAAATTTCAATTCACTATACAGTACAAGGTTTCTCTATTCTATCATTACACCAGTCGCATCTGTCACCCCACGGGGAGGACATTTGTCTCCCTTTTTATTTCTAATATTTTTAATTTGACTGGTGCCAAAAATGGATGCCACTCAATGAGTTACTAGGTATATAGGTCTCGACGTCTATACAATTTGTTTATTCTATAAATAATAACTTATCCGATACCCAAATCAGTTTCTTACTTAATAGATCTTATATACCATTTGGTATAACTTTTTCATTTAATTTAAATTTTCGTCAACATATAGATAATAATATTAGTAAAGCTCTTAAAATATTAGATTTGTAAGACACCATTCTATTGATTTTAAAAATCCGCATTCATTCCTATTACTTTACAATGCATTAGTCATCAGTTAGATCAATTTTGGAATATGGTTCAATTATATGTAATGCATATCAAATATTGATAGTATTGAGAGTGTCCAAAACAGCTTTTTGAAATGTAAAGGTATCATATTCTAATCGAAACTTAAAATAGCAATTATTATTATTTATTAATCACATTAACAATCCAATTAGATCAAAACTATAAATATTTAAACCTTATTATTACGTCATTAACTATCAAATATAACTTTTATATATAAATTAATTAACGGTTACATTTATATTTTATTCTCTTTCTCTTCTAAAGTCTATCCCCTTTAACGTTACTTCTTATAGTAACCGTATTGTTCAGTGTTCCGCTTTTTATATTCTGTCTTACAATTTACAGCACAACTCATCTTACAAACTCCTCCCCCTCCACCTAAACCAAGAGCATTGATTCTGCAACAAGTGCCCTAACATCAACTTTTCTTTTCGCCTTTATTTAAGATTTTAAATTCTTATTCTACTTTTAACCTACATATCTATGAAGATTGGAGTTGTATACTATCGTTGAATTGTATGGTGTATCTAGTTTACTATTGTAGTGTTGTTTTGTTAATAGTTTACAGGGGTGAACGCAGGGGGGGGGTTAAGACACTATCTAAACAAATAAAAAAATGGATAAGTAATATCGAAAATATTGAATATTTAATAATAAATTATATTGTCCATTATAGGGCATGGGTAATCCTCGAGACTAAAGATACTTGTAAGTTGTAATAACGAATTTCTTCAAAGAACCATGACAATACAATAAATGGCAATTGACAATTATAAATAAATTATAATCATTATAATTATTATAATTATTATATCATATTTAAGATAACTGAAAACGTTTCCTGTTTATATTATAATATAATTACAAAATGCATAAAAGAAAAAGATTTTAGCAATATTAGGCGTAATTGGATAACGCTGAGTAAAACATATTTATTAATATTTAACTGACGAATCCATCTGGAATTTTTTTATGAGACCGCTAGAAATTGTCATAAAATGGGGTCCTGTAGGGGTGTCATTTGGTGGAGTGCAGGGTGTACATTTACACTTTTATTTTAAACGCCTTCTTTGGCCTGCCAACAATAACCATAAGCACCGATATACCTAAGTATTTTATATTATATATATTTTATATTTATTCAGTATTAAAGAAAAAAAAATATTGTACTAATGTTTAATTTCCAAGAATGTTTGATGTGCTCTTGTGTTCCCCTAATATTATAATTGATAAAATTATAACACAAACATTGTGAAGAACTGAAGAAGGGTATCCATAAAATAAATGTCTGCTTTAGTCTCCATACCTTACAAACCCATTATCATAGACATGTAACCTTAGTACACAAAATTAAAAACTCAAAAACTGCTATTTTGAATATTGATTCTGATACGTCAAAATTTTAAGAATAAAATTATGTGGTAAATAAATTACATTTGAAAAGTTGAGTTCTAATTTGAAAAACAGAAGTACCGATATACCTAAGTATTTTATATTATATATATTTTATATTTATTCAGTATTAAAGAAAAAAAAATATTGTACTAATGTTTAATTTCCAAGAATGTTTGATGTGCTCTTGTGTTCCCCTAATATTATAATTGATAAAATTATAACACAAACATTGTGAAGAACTGAAGAAGGGTATCCATAAAATAAATGTCTGCTTTATTATATATTTTGAGTATACAAGGAGAAAAAATGTGTAGGTTAGGTATTTTATACTTTTGTACCCATACATTTATTTACCAAGTGTAAATACTAAATACCACTGTACACTGGTATCCACAATTTACAACAAATACATTAAAAGTACCTATACATAGTTGGTTAAAAATAGTAACAATATTGTGATATTTTCATACTAATATAAGTGACATATTAAATTAATTATACAAATATTCTACAGTATTTTTCCCCACTTGACCCCACCCCCTCATAAAAAATGTTTCTTTGTGACCTGGAAAGGATTTGAATGCCCTTCAAATATTTTGGCACCAACAAAAAAGAAGTTGAAATGACAATGGTATCCGGGGCAAAAATGTTCCCGTTTCCCCCTATCTAAACGGCCTCGGCCGCTGTAAATATGATAACTACATTATAGTCAGGCAGAAGACACAAAAAAAAATTTAAGTGGCTACAATCATTTATATAGTGGTTTTAGCAATATTCTCTTGTAGCTATAAGGGCAACTGTTAATTTTAATATTATGTTACAAATAGTGTAAAATACTACATAAATCAATATTGTTAACAA